GCCTCTGATGTGAAATTGCCATTCGTGTCCGCCCGCCTCCTCCTCTCTGCCGTTGTCAGAGCGCCGCACTCGGAGGCCGGGCCGCAGCTGGACTGTGACGCTGTCGCCAGGGACAAATGGCTTGTCAGGATAGAAGAGCACCGTCTTGTTGTCGCGTGCAAGGACGACGCGGCCATCCACCTTGCCGCTCTGCCGGCCCTTCACATCAAAGAGTGCGTCGAGATCAGTGGGGATGACCAAATCGCCCTCCCTGACGGGAAATACACCGACAAACGGGACATACACGCACACTGAAACGAGTGTCTCATCTTTGCTGTGCATCACCGGACTGCAATTGACGTCAGCTCCGACACGTGCAGCGCCCCTGGCCGGGGATGCATGTACTCGAACAGCCCATCGCCCCATGGACGCACAGCCCCCTCCACGACAAACGGAGATGATGGAAAGGAGGACGGCGCCTGATCCACCGCCGCGGCCATGCCCTCTGCGGCCGAAGAAGAAAGGAAGCTTCTCTCGTGCTCATCTGCTGAGGCCGTCGTGAGAGACGACCACAGGAGAACGGCAACCAGCGAGGCCGCCATTTTGTGCCCACTGAGTTTACGCGTTCCCCGTACATGCACGGAAAAAGGTTCAGGTCCCCATACGATATTAAGGTCTGCCGTGTTCCGTCCTCGTTCTCGCTATGCATCTTCGGGTCTTTTCTCTTGCCACCCTGCTGTCGCTCGCCCTGCTCGGGCTTGCCGTCGCAGCAGACGAATGGGAAGAGCAGGACCCGACAAAGGAACCGAAGGACCTAGACGACTTAGTGGACGGCGTAAAAGACTTAGTGACTGTTATCATTGACAAAGGCAGAGACACTGACAGAGATTCTGACACAGTCACAGTCACAGTCACAGACACTGACAGAGATACTGACACTGACACAGGCACAGAAAAAGGTAACCGAGGGCCCCTCGCTGTACATACACTTCCCACGTCTTCGAACGTCTTCCCCCTTCAGACGGCGTGCCAGGGGACGTTCTTGAGAGCATCGTCCTGACACTGAAGCAGGAAGGGGAGGATGCGTCAACAGGCGAAGGTAACGGGGAAGCACAGGGCAAATGAGATCGATGGCCGCCATTCACGTTGTGCGTTGTGTGTGTCGCTCCTGATTGCAAACACAGCTCAGAATTGCACAGGTCAGTGTTCGCAGCTCCATGCACCTACTTGTCTCGTGCATCTCTCTCTCCGTGTGGCCGCTCTCTGTCTGCAGATGTCACTCCGTCCCTTGCCGGCTTCCAGCTGGTGGACGTCAAGAGAGGGCAGTCCGAGGGCAGCGCCAAGGTGATAGAAGACGGCACGACTGACTTTGTGGTGCCCGCTGAGATGGGTATGGACTTCACCTTCACGGCCGTCCCCGAGTCGGCCTGCGTCACAGCCGTCCAGTTCCTCCTCTTTGACTACCAAGTGGGCAGAGACACTTATGAATCGTACTTGATGATACGTGTTTGCTCTGGCTCTGTTGTGTGTGGTGTGTAAGGGAAACTTCATGGATTGGGACACGTAAGGCACCCACACACACGCACACGTCCTCACACGCACAATTTGATGTCCTTGCTGCTCAGCATACGAGATCCTCCCTATCTCGAGAGGGCCACCCAGGGCGCCAAGGATCAAGCATTTACGGCCTTCGGCAACAGCGAGCCGCCCGCTGGCTCGGAAACGATGGCTCTGCAAGCACCCTTCACCAAAGCCGCCAGTGAGGCCATCGGCTCGCCGGGCATGTACACACTCGCAGCGACGCCGTTCAATAGAGAGATCGAGGGCAAGGACATCGAAGTGCACTGTAAGCTGCGCAGCAGACCTGAGAGGGAGAAAGGAGAATGTCTCTTACTTCCTGTGGCTTCGTTGGGTGTGTCTGCAGTCACGATTCCCGTGCCTCGTGGGCAGAACAACAACTTTCTTGACCAATACTGAGGTATCTCGGCATGGTCTCTTTTAATACGTGACTTCCTTGTCAGTGAATCAATTTCTGTGGTTCGCATTGTCCACCTTTTGCCACTCTGTTTTCCTTTTCCTTTGTTTCCGCACCATGTCCTTCGCGCACTTTTGACCTCTCGTGGCATTTTGTTGTGTATGTGTTCATCGATGTGTATGTGTATGTGTGTGAGTGTGAGTGTGTCCTGGGTGCAGTTTTTGAAGTGGGGCCCAGAGTGTTCGTACGAGAGCAGCCGCTGTGCACAGCCTGCATGCCTGTGACTTGACGGGATTTGCCTCCCAACACTCGCAGGCCGGACATGCACCCATGTGGTTTTTCCGCTGGCCATACCACTGCTTGCCTTCATGTGTAAAGCGGGGTTCGTGTGTATGTGTCTCTCTCTCTCTCTCTGTCTGTGTGTGTGTGTGTGTGTGTGTGTGGTTGTGTGTCTCCTTGTCGATGCTACCCTGCTGCCTCTCTTGCTCCTGCCCGGCTCAAAACAGGCCGGCAGGGGAAAGACCTTTATCCGTACCATCCATCCATGTGTGCTGAAAGGCGAAGGCGTCGTGTAGTGTGTTCGTTTGGTGCTTTAGGGGTTCCGAGGCCACAGCTATAGCCAGCTGGCTGATGTGTGAGTGCACGTCTTGTCACGCCTGCGTGCACACACAGATCTCTGTCTGTCTGTTGGGTGCCCAGTCTTGTGTCTGATGTACTTTGTGTGTCGGATAGACCATACGTGTTCGTACCTTTGTGCCGTGAGGCCGATGTGTTTTCCTGTCTGTGTCTTTTCGTGTGCAAATGTGTGAAGGACGGAGACACCAATGCAGTCCAAATGCTCGGGCAAAAGAAATGAAGTGAGCAGAAGTTTCTATGTAGCGTTTCCAATCGATCAGCCTGCGGAGGCACGGAAGCATGGCCCTTGCTCCTATATTCTGTGGAGGGCGATGAATGACGTGAAGCCGTGGGAAAAGAAGCAGCAAAGCAAGCAGCCTATCGTTCATTTGTTTATGCAAAGAGTCATTCAAGAGCATCTTGTCAGTGTGTATGCCGTCATGTGTCTCTCCGCTCACTGTCGCGCCAACGAATACAAATTAATACCACTGCTTTGCAATTGCTGCACTCTCGCTTGTTCACCAAGCATGGACAAATACGTATACGTATCGGGTCTTGTTGCGTCGACACACATGTACATGTACATATATATACCTGTGCACATGTACATGTGTATATGCAAATGTATATGTACATGTGTATATGTGTGTGTAAGCGACGGTAGAAACTTTGAGCTACGTGTATGGGAACCGTACCGACGCCATATGTATGCATACGAGACACCTTCACAAATAGGTACACGTACTCAAAAAACACTCCACACTCCACACTCCCTTCGATACCACACATTGTCTAAATAGTGTGCAAATAAGCAATACGTGAACTAATCATTCAAATGACATATCGAACGACACCCGAGCCGCCCGATCTAGCTGACGGCTGACTGCACAGTGTGTTGGCTGTTGTCCCGGATCAGAGGCAGGAGCATTTCGCTCACCAGCCCCACCTCCCTCTGCTTGAAATTGATGACCACGACGCTCGCACGAGCACACAAATCAAATGAAGCGGGTCTCCTCGATGTGAAAAAGGGTGCCCACAAGATGCAGGCTCATTCATCGTTTCGGATTCTCATACACCGTACTGGATTTTCCACAAACAAAATGCCTTTTGGAAGCCCCTTATTCGTTGGCGACTCGATTGCTTGCTTGTCAAACGAACAGACAAATACATATCATACCACATCACCTCGTGTCAACCACTGTATATGCATCTCTGAATGTCCGACCGGCAGAAAATTCGTGTTTCTACATGTGTGTGAGTACAGACGAGGCGTTGCGCTACGAAAGAAGGGAAATACACAGGACAGAGACAGTACGCATCATATGCTACACAGTACAGATGGGCAAGCCCGAGCTACGGACGAGGAGGCTCCATAAGTCACGAGACACAAATACAGAAAGACAACAAAAATACACAAGGGACATTTCTACGCCCTAGCCACCTATCTGGCGGCCGGCTAGATCTGTCCCACTCACATTCTTTATCAGAGGCAGCAGTAGCTCACCCACTAGCCCCACCTCTCTCTTGTTGAAGTCGATGATCACGGTGGCATTGGGCAGCACCTTCCGGAAGAACAGCGGATGGCGGCTCCTGATCAGCTCCTTCAGCTTGCCAAGCTTGAGCTGAGTGTAACACAGGGGCCCGAGGCGGCTGCACTGTGTCGCGACCCCTAGACCGCAGGCGTCTTTCGTCTTCTGCCAGCTCCAGCACATGTGAGTGTCACAGAAGAGCTCTTCGATGTGGGGCTCCCTCTGCTGGCTCCAGTCACCCAGACCACCGTTGACCTGCGAGAATGACAGCATTACACACGCACCATGTGTGTGTCGCCAGACGGGCACCCCTCTCATTACCTGCTTCCAGACAGCCTTGTTGCCCAGCGTGCGCCTCAACACGTGGTGCGGGAACCACTCATCGGGGGCGGAATTGATGGCTTTGTTCCAGTTGTGCACACCGTCGTAAGGGAAGTTGAGGCCTTGAGCGGCAGTAAGGACGGCGTGGTAACGGTTGTACGTCCGCCACTGCATGTGCTTACGATCTGTGACCACACAGGAGGATCCATTTCCTTGTCTCTTCTAGTGTACTCACCCAACACGGACAATCCTACCGATTGCAGAGTCACTCAGCGCGTCTTGACACGAAGGGGCTGCTGCCGTGGACGCGACCACACCCGCTTCCCTCCGGTCCGGCCCCGCCCTCATGAATCGATATTCGTGATAACTGAACAGAACACGCGAAAATCATTCGGCTACCTCCCTCATCCCCATCACTGTATGCGGCTGCCTGCCTTACCATATTCTACTGGTCGGCAGGCCGCCCATGTCATCGCTTCTCGTCTCGAAGAGCACGTCGTAGACGACATCCGGGTGTGACACGGGGACGTGAGTGATACTCAGGAGCACCATCATCTGGTTGCACGGGTCGCGAAGGGCGGCCCGCCACAGGGCGTTCTCCGCCAGGATGAAGCTGCCGTAGCTCGTGCCGACCGGCTCGATGAGCGAGGCATTGAACAGCGGATGAAGGGCCGCAGTGGCGTTGTCGTGCCGGTGCAGATAGACAGTGAACTTGCGCCTGTCGCTGGCCAGGCCAAGCCAGTCCGCCCACAGCTGACCGAACGGCACCTTGTCTTTCGCAAGGAACAGCAACGCGACGCTCGGCGGCCCGCGGCACTCCCCACACCCCTCTAAGGCAAATCGCTCACTCGACGGCTTGACACAGTAGAACTGCTCTGTCGACGATGCGTTGGGCTGCCCGAGGGTGGTCTTCTCCAGCGGCACCAGATGCCTCTCCTTGAAGGCCGAGAGGAAGCCGTCCAGGTCGTCGCACATAACCGACCCCCGAGTGGCCTCATGCACCGAGTGGAAGAGGGAGAGGGAGGCGAGTTGAAGGCCGGATGAGCCCCATCCGACGG